GGGCAGTTTAGACAATTATTTGGTATAAGTCCAGGTTATTTTCCTATATCCATTAGACCGGGATGGTGGGGTGAGGGGCCGGGGGAGGGGAGGAAGGCTTACATCTGGACTCCACATTAGCTCCTTCTTTAAATGCTTGTAAACAGATGTTAAAGCTGGGGAGGCGATGTGGAATGGCTAGCTCTGTGCCAACACCGGGATAGTAGCTCATTTAATCCTTGCAGACGATCCTGAGGATTATGGTATCGTCCTCACTGCACAGACAGAAAACTAGTCCGCATAGGTAAAAGGACCTCGCCCAAGGTCACACACTGGAACTGGAACCTCAGCTATCTGAACCTGTGTCCTCATATGCCAAACTCTCAAGTCTTGGTCATGAGTTATAAATGCATGAATCGACGCACACAGTAGAGCGAGAGGAATCTAATCATGATCAGTTACCTTTTGGAAATTACGGTCACGTAATTTCCATAGCTTGATCTACCACAGCGGGGCTAACGCGCGGTTCTGCAAATCAGCTTTAGCCCAGGCCAGGGAGAGAAAGGGCATTATCAAGTCAGCCGTCGCAAAGCAAATAAAATCTGGTGAGACGATTTGGATGTGGGAGGGGATTATTACATGTCTGGGATGATTAAAAAGAAGTTTGGGGCCAGCGGGAACCTCCGCCCAAGTGAGAACTGGCCCTCGAGCAGATACTGCAAGTTTAGGAAGGACACACTGGCCGACGTTTGTGACAGTTAGTGCTGAGTCCTGTTTATTTTGCGGCAATCTCCATCTACCGGGCCTGCGCGCTCCGGGGAAAATCCAAAACATAACAGAGTGGAAGGAGTAGGGCAGTCAGGCAAAACTCCCGTCAGATTCTAGCCCGGACACTTAGTGAGTCATCTAATCTTTGAGCCTCTTTGCTCATCTGTAAAACGGGAGTACGAATGCCAGCTCCAACTCCAACACCAAAGTGTTGCCGTGAAAATGAACCGAAGCCACATACGGCAGAAGAGAGATCCTGAATCAGTGAATCATGAAAAGCCACAACTTAGCCGTCACCACGTTGTAAAATCAGTTCATCGGTCGTCGTGGGGGAGGGGTGGATACGAGGAATCTAAACACGTATAATCTTTTATCTGAAAAACTTCTCAGGGATGATGCCTACCCTGGGTTTTCCTAGGAGGGAGACAGAAAGACGCACACCAAAGAATTATTTGTTCGACTTCGACGGGAGGTAAATTCCTTTACTTCTCACTTAGTGGTAAAGACCAGGAAAAGATCCAAAATGCTTAATTACAGGTTCTCTAGCACGCTCTTCCAGAGAATCCAAGGTCTATTCTTTAAGATTAAACACAAAATAATTGGAGAAACTAGAAAACGGACAGGCTGTTAAAATGATATAACAATATTACAGTTTTGTAAGAAAAGACTATTTCTAGGAGATGTGTGATGAATTTACGGTTCAGAAAAAATTATATATACAAATAAATAATAAAAATAATATGTATAGGGTGCCTGGCTGGCTCAGTTATTGAGGGTCTGACTTTTTCAGCTCAGGTCACGATCCCACGGTTGTGGGACTGAGCCCCACGTCAGGCTCTACACCGAGCATAGAGCCTGCTTAAGGTTCTCTCTCTCTCTGCCCCTTTTTCCCACTTGCACTCTCTCTCCTTCTTTCTCTAAAAATAAAAATAAAAATAAGGGGCGCCTGGGTGGCTCAGTCGGCTAAGCATTTGACTTTGGCTCAGGTCATGATCTCACGGTTAAGTTCAAGCTCTACATCCAGCTCTCTGCTGTCAGCACAGAGCCCACTTCGGATCCTCTGTCTCCCTCTCTGCCACTCCCCCGCTCTCTCTCAAAAATGAGCATTAATTTAAAAATAATAATAGTAATAATTTAAAAATAGTATGTGTAAATAAAGCAAATATAGCAAAACACTAATTGTTGAACTTCGATGGCAGGTTTGTGGGCCGTGTTTAAAGTGTTCATACTAAAGCACTGGGGAACAAATAAAAACACGAGGTTGCATTTAGAGACCGTCCCATGTGAAATTTTCCATCTTTTCCACCCACTGTACAGATGGTTGAGGCTGGGTGGTGGTGCAGAAAACTAACTGCAAGACGAGTTTTATCCAACTTTTGACACAATGTTATGTCACAGAGTCATTCAGCCAAATGGTGAGAAGTCAGTAACTAAGAGCTACGGTTTTAAGAGTCTTGTGTGGGGGCTGGGAGAATATGAGCCTTTCCAATGTACCTAATCCAGGAAATTTATCTAGAGATATTTAAGGACATTTTGAAGACAGTAAGGCAACTACTGAAGAAAATAAGCCATGTGGTCTGCTGGGTTTAGAACAGATTCTCTTAAGTACGGTGCCTCATACGCTAATAATTAGCGCTTATCTATAAATGGGTACATTGATCTTAAGGTACATTGATCATTAGAACAAAAAGAATTGTGTAGGAAATAAGGCAAAGTCCTATACGATTTTAAGGTGTTCTTAAAGGACTACTAAAGACACCAAAAAGACTGCAAGTGAAAAGAAGACAAGAAGAGATTTTATAAAACCAGGAAGAAAAATGAAAAAAATGAAAACCCTCAAGAGACAAAATAAAATCACTTCATGAATTTATAAATGGTTTGCAGCCTACGAGCTGCAAAACAGCCTCTACATCTTTTGAGAAATGCCCACAGTTCTTTGGGAGAGAATGTCCCCCCAGGGCAGGTTCCGCACTTGAAGCTCTGTCCAAAGATCCCAGGAGAACTCCACCGACTTCTAAGAATATCGGACACTCTGAGAATGTTAAGGGAATGATCTAAGACATGGAAAACGTTTAAAGTCTTAGATTAGAGGCAACTGTCGAGGTTTCACAGTGGAAGACTGACCTATTTATGATGTGAACATCCGTGTGATGGGAGTGTTGCTCAGCAACTTCAATGTAAGTACAGAGTAAGCCGCGACAAAAACAGAATATTAAAACAAATTGGGAAGTTAATAAGTGAATATACTTATGACAATCTAAAAAGTAGTCTGGAATACCAAAAAGACAATTATATTGGGATACCAGAATTCCATGTTTCCCACCCCTTTCCCACCCAGTTCTACCAAAAAAAAAAAAAAGTGTTTTTTTTTACATTTATTTTCATTTTTGAGAAACAGACTGAGACAAAGCGTGAGCAGGGGAGGGGCAGAGAGAGGAGGAGACACAATCTGAAGCAGGCTCCAGGCTCTGAGCAAGCAGTCAGCACAGAGCCTGATGCGGGGCTCAAACCCACAAACTGTGAGATCATGACCTGAGCCGAAGTCGGAAGCTCAACCGACTGAGCCACCCGGGTGCCTCTCTACCAAAAAAAAATTTAATTATTATTACAAAAGAATGAAAAAAAAAAAAAGGATAAAAAAGTCATGGCTGGAAGGCAACTGATGAACAATCACATACGAAGAGTACTCAAGGTAAGACCTAACATGGGATATGAGACTAGATGCTCTAAGAACGGTCACCATCTCCAACAATTAATGGTCTCTGCTATTTTCACTGAACAACAACCCGTGCAAAACCACCCATTCTTTCCCTCCTTCTAATGGCAGGTCCCAAAACACATCCATCAAAGAAGTGCTCCCAGTAACAGCATTCTTGTTTATGACCAGCCTGCAGACATTACTCTCAAAGTCTCTTTTTGGCCGGAACTGATATGAAATATACCACTTCTCTAAAGTTGTGCCTGTGTGTGTGTGTGTTTTACTATGAAAGAACAATGTCACTTAATTACTCACCTTTTAAAACCACAAAAGCAAACTCCTACATTTTAGCTTCTTAGGGAGTCCCCAACCTAGATGGGGACTAAAAAAAAATTTTAGGTTGCTTGTTTGAAACTCAGAAAACATTTTTTCCTAGAAATATGATAGTAATAAGGGAAATGGTCTGCCCAGCAAAGCCTCAGGTCCACAGTCTCTCCCTCAATTTCCTGGTCTGAAGACTAATGATGCTTCTTAATGCTTTCCAGAGCCTCCCACACAGGTCTCCATTTCCATCATAGAATTTTCTTCAGAGGGGTATTTTTAAGCTGGAAAACACTTTACTAACAATGTAATTTTTTTATCACTTAAAATCTACTACTTTGCATTTTCGCAACACAGATGACACAAGATTCACTTAAATTCCAGACGAAAAATATTTTTAAGCAATCAGAAAATTAGGGGCGCCGGGGGGGCTCAGTCAGGTTAAGTGTCCAACTTCGGCTCAGGTCATGATCTCACGGTTCATGGGTTCGAGCCCCAAGTAGGGCTCTGTGCTGACAGCTCAGAGCCTGGAGCCTGCTTCGGATTCTGTGTCTCCCTCTCTCTCTGCCCCTCCCCTGCTAGCGTTCTGTCTCTCTGTCTCTCAGAAATAAATAAACATTAAAAAAAAAAAAAAATGAAAACTAGAAAAAAAAGCAATCAGAAAATTAAAAACAAAGGGGTATAAAAGAACACTAAAATGTCCTTAATAGTTTGTGGACGTCAAACATCAAAAGCAAGATGCTATTTTAAAATAATGTAATGACTTCAGTTTAAAGATGGGTGAATTTTAATTTAATCCTTTCTGCATAAAACCAAATGGTAGTGAAATACCATGAGACTAAGTGCTGAAAAAGTAAGTAATGAAACAGACATGTGAAACATGATTACAGTTTAAATTCTTTGGGCTCTTTTCTAAGCCCCCACTTTTAACACAGAATGAACTTTCCCAACCTAAGCACAAGAGTTAATCTTTACCACTTTACATCTAAAAGCTGTACTTTAGGGGCGCCTGGGTGGCTTGGTCGGTTAAGCGTCCGACTTCGGCTCAGGTCATGATCTCACGGTCCGTGAGTTCGAGCCCCACGTCGGGCTCTGTGCTGACCGCTCGGAGACTGGAGCCTGTTTCGGATTCTGTGTCTTCCTCTCTCTCTGCCCCTCCCCTGTTCATGCTCTGTCTCTCTGTCTCAAAAATAAATAAACGTTAAAAAAAAAAATTTAATAATAAAAGCTGTACTTTAGGAACATTCCGTGAGTTTTCACAGCGATTGGGAAAGCTTTCAAAAGAAAAAGTGGGGGGTTGAAAAGGAAAGACAGCTTTAGACTCTGCAGCATAGTGTAGCTGGTACGAATACTGGGTTAGACCCCAGGACTGACTACATTCCTCTATTTTTCTTCAAAAACCTTTTGGCATCTGATAGTTTCATCAGCCTTTCGGTGTCGAAACAAGTAACCTTTCCTCCCCATCGTGGTCCCGATGAATGAGGCCTAAGATTTCCTAGAGGCGGACCTCCATTATTGAGTCCCCTTTATATACAAGGCAACCATTCGTTTTAATCTCCCCTGGGGCCGGGATTCATGCTCCCAACTGAACTTTCACCAGCGTGCACAGGATGTTCAAAAAATGTCTCCAAAGCTCTCTTGTGGCCCATTCGGCACCATCAGAATGTACTAGAAGTGGCCGAAAAACGGGAGCACGAATTAGTCGTATTTGATTCTCTCCGCCAGGGGTTCCTGCTTGTAATGGGAAATAATTTGAATTAGGATGGAACAGTTGATAAGAAGGAAGAACAAACCAGCTAACCAGATAAACAGAAAGGTGTTCTTTCCCTGAAACTCCAGGAGGTACGCAGGAGCCAGCCAGAGGGCCTGCCCGATGAACCACAGCATCAGGAGAACCACGGCGCGTTTCCACGGCATCCTCACCAGCGGCATCACCAGGGGCAGCAGGCAGAGGTACCAAAGAAAGTACTGGGAGGTGCAGACTTTGTTAAAAGTCACGAAGATGGCCGTGTGCAGGAAACAGCAGAAGACGAGGTCCCTGTAGTAGGCGAACGACACGGCCGACAGCAGGAGGAACTGCGGCAGGAAGGCGGCGAGGCCCAGGGAGAAGCTCCACGGGCTCTCCGCGGTCAAGTACAGCATGTAGAAGTAGGGCGAGAAGTTGTGCCGGATGTCCCGCCTCGTCAGGTGGTACAGGTAGGTGTGCTCCAGAAACTCCCAGCCGTATTTCTGGTAGAAGCCGAAGCTCAGGGCGAAAAACGTGAGCCCGGCGACGGCGACGAAGAGCAGCACGGCCCGACTGCACAGCCTCTTGAGGAATTCGTACAGGCGGGCCTGGAAGGGGCAGCGGGGCCGGCCGGGGTCACCGGGGTGGCCGCCGCGCTCCGGGAGCAAGTGCAGGGCGATGGGCAGGATGTAGGTCACCGGGTACATCTTCATGTGCACGGCGAGGCCGTACGACACCGCGGCGCACGCCACCTGCCTCCTCGCGAGCAGGTACAGCGTCGCCAGCACCAGCGCCGCCACCATCGAGTCGGCGTTGCCGCGGCTGGACACCGCCATGGGCAGCGGGTTAAGGAGCCAGAAGACACAGTAGCCGCAAGCCCGGCGCCGGCCCAGCCCCTTGAAGAGCAGCAGGCGGTAGAGGAGGAAGGCGGTGAGCAGGTCGCAGCTGATGAACAGAAACTTCCCGAAGAGCTCGCACAGGTACACGTTGGGCGTGAGCAGCCAGCCCAGCAGCGGGGTGTAGCGGTACGTGGCCCGCAGGTACGGGGAGCGCCCCTCGGTGACGAAGCGCGCGGCGTCCGTGAACACCCGGTAGTCGACGTCCGTGTACCGCACGAGCAGCGTCCGGTCCTGGAAGACGCCGTAGAAAACCAGGGCCACCCGGGCGAGGAAGGCCACCCCGAAGACGCCGGCGGGCGGCACCCGCAGGCCCAGGAACCACTCTCCCCAGGGCTTGGTGGGGGCCATGACCGCGCGGCGCCTCAGCCGCTCAGCCCCAGCGCCGAGCTGCCTTCGAACGCCCGCCCTTCGCTCGCGGGCGCATCTCCCACCCGCCGGCCGCCAACCGAAACCTCGGCCGGGCGGTCGCTTCCGGCAGGAGGCCCCGCCCCCGCCCCTCTTCCTGTCGGAGGCGCCGCGCCGCGCTCTCAGTGGCCCGGCCGAGCGTGCCTTCCTCTGGATTGGCTGTGTCGCTGCCGCGCCTTCCCTCGGCGGGGGCGGGACTTCCGGTCCTTGAGGGAGGCGCGGTGCCCTGGCTCCCGGAGGGCGGCCGGCGTGGTCCCGGAGTCGCGGCGGCTTAGCGCTGCTCGTGCCGCCTGTTCCCCCGCCGCATCTCCGGTCAGCGGAGACGGAGCCTGGGACGGGACGAACTTCGGGCCGCGTCCCCCGGGCCGGAGACCCGCGGATGAAGGGAAGATGACCCGCGATCGCTTGCCGGGCGTCCCTCCGCCAGCCCGCCGGGAACCGGGGCGTGTGGGCCGGGCCCAGCGTGCGTGCCCCGTGAGTACTCGGGAAGCGCCTGTATGTTGAAACTATGCCTCGTGTGCCCGGACTGGAACCGAACTGGACGGCTGCTGTTTTGTCCGGCAGCCCTGGGTGGGAGGGAGCGGGGAAGGTGTCCCCGGGTCTCGCCGCTGCGGAGTTGGCCCTTCCTTGTGTCAAGGTGGCCTTCCCGTCCCCAGCCAGCAATTCGACCCTCCCGGCCTTAAAAAGCACGTCCTGGCTCTCAGATTATGGTTTCATCCGCAGTGTGATGTAGTTGCCTCCTCTCCGCCGGGGGTGGACGGACTGGGGTGCAGGGGCCTCTAAGCTCTAGGTCGTTCCCGCACGAGACCCTGCCTGCTACCTAAGCCCTGGCCGGTGCCTGCCATCCCGGTGCTCCGGGCCTCTCTTATGGAATGACCAGTCTCTGTTACAGCATTTGTCGCGCTGCCTTGTGATACCCGATTTTTTGTACGTCCCGCTTCCCTCGTTTTCCGTCGGGACGCCTTGAGTTCTTTGAGAACAGAGACTGTCTTGTTCTTTTTCTGTGCCTCAGCGCCTAACACATTAGCAGGCTCGTAGTAGGCATTCTGTACAAGTTGAATTGATTTTGGACGTTCCTCTTTTTTTTTTTTTTTTTAATCTAAAATTTTTATTTTTCTAGCCGTCGTCACACCCGCTACCCGCAGTGGGGTTACCAAAACCAACCCCTCTCCACTCTCCAGTGCCCTGGTTTAGAGGGCTGCTTATAGGGTTATAGTTAGCCCACTGCTGGCTGCCCGTCGCCCCATCACGTCTCCTTGGCAGGACAAAGCCAGGTGTGGCCCTCTGCTGTCTCTCTCCTTCCCAGCCTGCCTCCTGTTCAGCTAAGAGTTCTCTGTTTGTCTCAAGTGTCCTTAGAGCAGGGTGTGCGGGCACAGGGCCTGGAAGCCCCCGCAGGGAGCAACGGCAGGACACAGGCCACTCCTAGCAGCCGGGGGTTCACAACACACTTGCCCAGACTTCCAGAAAGCCCTACCCCCAGACGGACCTACAGAATGAGCACTTCCACGAGGGGAAGACCCTCTTCCTGGTCAGTCCCGTTGTGCCAGAGGCCGGTCACATGCTCATCTCTATGCACATCTCCTGTAACCCTCATGACAAGTCTCCTTTTATGGACAAAGAACCTGAAAACCAAAGCGGTTGGTGCCTTGCTCGGCGTTCCCAGCTAGAAGCCCAAAGGTAGGTCTCCCTGCCACGTGCACATAAGAACTGCCTCCGCGGCAGCTGTGGGGCACGTGGGGCTACAGACCGTGCTTAGTGCTCACTGTTGTGAGCACTGAGCGTGGAAACAGCCATTTCCTCTTTGCCCCAACGTCATAGGTGCAGCAGAACAGCAGGTCCGGCACCTGCAGTGCAATCTGGATCGTCCTCTGACCAGAGTCCCTCTAGGGCGGCATCCTCGGCGGACTCCCTACTCCCAGCCCTTTTCTCTCTCTGATGTCCTTCACCTGTCTCAGCTTCTGCCCCCTTCCTCCCCGTCCCCTCCCCTCCCCCGACCGTGCTCCCCTGAATTTCTCACCAAGGACTCCAGCCCATTAGCTCTTTCCCTTCTTGGACACTCACTGCACTTAGTCTGCAGAACCACCGGATGTCCTCATGTATTTCAGGTTCTATTCGTAACCTTTCAACGAGATTGTTGGGTTTCTGAGGTTAGGGACGATATCTTATCCTTAGTTTCTTTTCAGTCACTCATAATTGACTGCCGTGTTAGGCACATTAGAAATGTCGGGCAGATATTGACTTCCAGGTTTTACAGAGTAGGTGAGGCCATTCAGCCTCAGCGTGCAGCTCCCAGGACTGCTCTCCCTTGCCCCGTTCATCCATCACGCAATTTACATTTATCCTGTGGATGAACCGTATTAATCGTATTAACACTCCATGTTTATATCCCGATACCTTTTTCTCCTTTTGTGTGCCTCGGTGTAATGACGTGCCTTATGTGGATAGTTCCTTTTAACTGTCGTTTTGGTACCGTGGCTGCGTCTGTAATGACAGCGCATCACCCTGCTGGTGATGGTGGTGACGATGACTTCAAACAGCCGGCTTTGTTGAGGCCTTGTTTGCAGTGTGTCAGGCATCGTGCTCGACACTTACCACGCAAGGTGGATACCCTGCCTTCCCAAATGAAGAAAGCAGGACTTAACGGAGGTCAAGTAATTTTTTCCTAAGTCACATCATGACCTAAAGGCAGAGCTGGAAAGCAAAAGCAATTCTATCTGGCTCAGATCTTTTTTTTTTTTAATGTTTATTGATTCTTGAGAGAGAGAGAGATTGAGCAGGGACGGGCGGAGCCAGAGAGGGACACAGAATCCGAAGCAGGCTCCAGGCTCTGCACTGTCAGCACAGAGCCCGATGTGGGGCTCCAACTCCTGAGCCGTGAGATCATGACCTGAGCCAAAGTCGGACGCTTCACCGACTGAGCCACCCAGGCTCCCCTGGCTCAGATCATTTCTGACTACCGTGTGGCTAACCTGCAAATAGAATGTTGCTGGTGCACTCTGATCTCCCTCTCTGCCTCCTCTCATTGATCTCTTGTTTGCATCGTTCTCATATTTACTCTCACTGTGATCCTTGCTCTGATGATTCTTCTCATCTGCCAGTGGTACCTAAGTGAGGCTTAGTCCCAGAAAGTTAGGGGAGGAGGATGTCTGAGGATTAACTAAGGGTGCCTCTGGCGCAGTTGGTTTAGTAGTGTGGCAGAAAGGCCCCAACCATCTGACCCTCTACAGCTTATTTATTAACAGGTGGGAGGCACCATATTGGACAGATAAGGAAACAAGAAACAGCTAACCAAAAGAAACTCAGCTTGGAGTACTGCAGTCAAAGGGCCGAGATACAGACAGTAGTTGAGGGACTAAAGAAGGGACTGGAGTTCAGGCAAATAGATTGGACGGGGAGGTCCAGCTTCTGTTCCTTGCTTCTAGGTGGAACAGAACCACAGGCTTGAAGGGGCCCGTACCGAGCTTTTGGCATTGGGCTTAGGGATTCTATTTCTCACCTCCTCCCGGAAGAGCTACCATTTTTTTCAAAGCTCACGTGTGGATTACCTCTCGAGCAATTACTTAACACTTCCCCCTTTCACTGTCTGCCTCTAGGCTCTCACCCTTTTAGAGCCCACGGCTAGGGAAAGCATGCAAGTGCGTAGCTTGTCCCTAGCTAGCCTCCTCCGCCGGTGCCTTGACCTTGGTCATCATACTGTCTTGCCCGCATTACCTTTCCAGTCTACTCTCCATCTTTTCTGCCCTGTTCTGGGCAGCGTCATGCGGCCTTCCCTGCCCTCTGGCTCCCCCATCAGAATAGGCCGGTGGGGGGGGGGGGGGGGCACTAGCAGATCTTTGGCAGTGGCTGAGTTCGGCTGCCCGAGACCCTGACTTCCACTGGAGCTACTCCAGCCCCCTCCCTTTGGCTCCAACTCTCACCAGGTTCCAGTAACCTTCCGGGCAGGTTTAAGACTGCTAAAGGCTTCCTGCTGTCGGGAGTCCCTGGGTGCCTCACCAGCCCTTGTTGGTTTATTAGCCCTGCCCACACCTTTGTAAAAATCCCTTCACTGAGTCCTCTCCATATTAGCCCTTGGAGTGCACCATCTGGTTTCTGCTGGAATACTGATCGATTCAGTCACTCTTTTTCATGGATCTTGCTTATATTTCCTGCTTTGTCATTTCTTTTTGATCGATTCCTAATTCTTTTCAGGCTCAGCATCCTGTACCTTAGTCCAGACCTCCAACAACTCCACTTAATCATACGTCCTGACCACCTACACTACATGAGGGTCTGTGGTGCTTACCTTCCTGGCCCCCCCCCCGCCCCTTCCCCCAGGCTTTTGTAGGTCTTTTAACTGGTTTAGTGTCTCCTGTCTCTCAATTCTGCTGCTAGGCTGATAGCCATAAACAGCACTTTAATTAGATCCTTTCCTTCCTCAAACATTTTCAATGGCTCCCAACCGCCTACAGAAAAAAATCATGAGCCATTTAACGTGCCATTCGGTCCCTCCATTACCCTACCTTTGCCATCTATTCACCTATAAAGCCCTCTGTTGCGGCTTTATTACCCATCCCTTACTTAAGCCTTGTGCTTTCTTCCTCCCATGCTTTTGCTCGTGCTATGCCATCTACAAAGGGCCGAATTTCTTTTCACTTACTTAACTACTGTTGGTCCTTGGTTGCCGGATTCCAACCTCTACTCCTATGTCAACTCTCCCTAGACCTTAACTAGTGGAAATGATCTCTCGCGGCAGAATAGTAGAGTTTAGTGTCTGTTCTATTTTTTGTTTGTAATCAGTTAATTGCGTCTTGCCTTAGGAGATCTGCTACCTAAGTCTTCTGGGGGCGTTTAACAGACGTATGAGCTCCACTGCATACTAGCGGTGTGAACTCCAGGCAAGTTCCTTCCCTCCCTCTTCCCTTCTTCTTGAGTATCATACATGCAGGTCCTGGGCTAAGTGCCAGCCGTGCCCGTGACCAAACCCTGACATGAGTCCCATTCACATGGTACTTAAAGTCTGGTGAGCAAGACCGACATCAGTGAGATCCAGTCACAAGTGAAGTGGCCACTCTGATAAG